TTGATGGATTTTGTTCAGATTTAGTGCATATATTAAACATAATATAAGCTTGATGCATACCAGTTTTTCTTCGGATCAAGTTCAAAATGGCCAACTGGAATTTAGTTTTCGATCCATATCTCGGACATGCCTGGACAGATCAAGTTCAAACTTCACATACACATCATACATTATATCATACATATGCCTGTGCATTTGGGCCAGTCCTTTTAAGGTCAAAAATTCACAAAAATTGCACATTTTCACCATACCGGAACTGAATCTATGTCATGCGTGGGCAAATTTAGTTTAAATTTTTTTTTGGATTGTGTTGAAAATGGCTGACTGGTGGCTATTTTGTTTTACTGAATGCAGTTCAACATCCATATTGTTGCTGCTTTGAATGTATATGTCACTCAAATATGAACGGAACTGGGACGTGTCATTGACAATGACTTGTTCTATTTTAACTCTATTTAAATTGTGATGATGCAACTTTGTTAGTCGGAATCCTGTTGTATCTTGTACAAAATGGTTTCTCTCCTAATACTAAACTCAGCACTGTTATTTGACCTTCAGGAGCTTTATGACTATGTACTGCAATTACTTTATAGGGTTATAACACACTTGTTGGATCTCGTGGTGCTCAGTTATCAGGTGGTCAAAAGCAGAGAGTAGCCATTGCTAGGGCTTTAGTGAGAGATCCAAAAATATTATTACTGGATGAAGCTACATCAGCATTAGATACAGAGAGTGAAGCTACAGTGCAAGCTGCTTTGGATAAGGTTGGTTATATCACTCTCTATTGTCAGTGTCACATTTTAAGCATAAAGTTATGTAATAACATAAAATTAACAAATACAGAACACACTACTGTCACTAGATGAAGTAAAATTTAAGTTAGGGTATCTTGGATTAAAAAAAAAAAAGCAATATCTCAAACATTCTGATTTGGTGGTGATCAATATCCATGACATACTTTTGTCATTGTGTTCAATAATTTATGCATTCAGTTTAACTAATCAGTATTGTTGTGTTTAAACTGGGCAAGTGTCATTTCTCATTTCCATAATGTATGCATTCAGTTTAACCAATCAGTATTGTTGTGTTTACACTAGGCAAGTGTCATTTCTCATTTCCATAATTTATGCATTCAGTTTAACCAATCAGTATTGTTGTGTTTACACTAGGCAAGTGTCATTTCTCATTTCCATAATTTATGCATTCAGTTTAA